TCACTCTTTAATGCATGTACATAAATTCCATTCTCCTTTGCTTCCCCTCACCCTGTTCTGAGTCTCTATCAACTGGAAATGAGTTAGGAAATAATGTTGATATTTTCACCCCACACATAGAAATAGCCCCAGTCTTTCTGTGCAGGCACAAATGAATATAGATGTACTGCCTAACTCACTAAATGGCAAATAGTCGTATTTAAACAAGTTTAGATATTCTCCCTAATACATGAAAGCTATTTCCCTGTGTCCGATTAGTTCTTGACTTATATTTTTCTACTCCTACAATACATGTAACAGACATTGGAAGGGGAATTGGTGCTGATATTGTAGAAAATGTTTGTTCCATTAGCTCTTACTAAATAATTGGCCAGTTATTTACACGTTCATCCAGCAAAGTTGGTATTCATAAACAGTTTCTATGTCTAACTCACGGTGTCTGATTGTCATCACGTGTCATGTTGTGACTTTCTCCTTCGCTAAAACGGGTGGGTGTGGCTACCACATGATGTATCCTGCCTGGGGTGTGCACGTTTGACACCCCTGATCTAAAGAATACCTGATCTCCCTAGAAAACTAATTCATTGGTACACTAGACCTGTGAAATATTATGGCTAAGCCATAGAGTAGTAATTTTGGAATAGGCTTGTTAAATTGTATGAATCTATCCACTGTGCCTTGCAAACAAGATTTATACTTTATGAAGTTATATGAAATCATTCATCGTAAATTATTGGAAAATTGGTTGGCAAAACAAATTTTTCAGCCATCTTAGAGAAATGAGGGTGTAATTAGGGAGGATATCATTACAAAGATTTTATGTAAATAAAGGAAAATTCTGTCCCTACAAGTCACCTTGCTGACATCGTCACAATGAATGTTTAATCTACTTTAAGAGGAATGCTAACAACGCTAGTTTCTAAAGATTTCCATGAGGACAGAGCACATCCAGAACCAGAGACAATCCTTTCTACCTCTAAGATGGAAAGGAAGTTTGGAGGCGAATGGTTGGCTAAATCTTCAAGCAAAAGTAATTCATTTCCCACTCCCACTGAAGTCAGAGGAGAGAGAGGTTTTTCTGTGTTTTCTCTGAGTGCGGCAAGAAGCTTCGGAAAAGGGAAGGAATTTTTTGTGGGACAAAATCTTCCAGGAGACAGGAACACACCAATTTTAAAGTGTACGGAATAAGTAGATGAAATAAAGGAAGGATTCATTTTTATTTTGTATATGCTCAAATCAAGTCTTATTTGGTTTTCTTGAAGCGAGTCTTTGTCTTATTCTATACCCTTATCTCTAAATTGTATGCCAGTTTTCTGTTACTGTGTATATGAAAGGGTTAAAAGTGTACCGTAATGAGATGGGATTCAGCTGGTTCACACTGGTTGGATGTTAATTTTGCATCCAGTTCACTGAACTAGTTGTTGAAAGGACTGGCTGGCCCTGCCCACCCCTTCCCTCCCCTGGGTCTCCACTCAACCCGTTCATCATGCCAGGTAAATGCAGAGCCCGCACGGAGGCTATGGGAGGGTGAAAAATGGGCCTCTCAGGCTTCCGGAAATGGGCCTGTTTCCGGCCTCCAGAGGTCATTTTGCCCTCCTGAGGCTCAGGGAAAGCCTCTGGAGCCTAGGGAGGGCAAAAAATGGGTCTACCGGAAATACTAGGACTGTTTCCTGGTAGGGAAGGACTGTTTCCAGCCTCTGGAGCCCAGGGGAGGCTGTTTTCACCTTCCCGGAAACTCGGGAAAGCTTTGGAAAGTAGGGTGAAAAACGGGCCTTCCAGAAATCCAGGGGGGCCTCCGGAGCCCAGGAGGCCATTTTTGCCTTCCTGGAGGCTTAGGGAAAGCCTCTGGAGCCTGGGGAGGGCAAAACCGTCCCCCTGCTGTGGTGCAGAAGGCTGAGTAGGCCACGCCCACCATGGCCACACCCACCCAGCAACCAGGCAAAGAACCGGTTGGTAACATTTCTGAATCTCACCCCTGACCGTAATAACAAAAGGACTCTTCCTTTGGAACCACTGGTCCTAATTACCACAGTGTTATTTTTAGTGGTTCTGGGAAATCTTCTGCCCAAAGATTAAATTGGTAAACAGTTAGATAGAGCTGGATAATATGAATCAAGGGTTTCCAAACTGTTTCAAGCTGTGGAACCTATTAAAGGTAAAAGTTTGCTCTGTCCAATCATTTCCAACTCTAGGGGGTGACACTCATCTCCGTTATCTTAACCCAGAAATAAATTTTAAAACATTCCAGATGCGTTGGTCAAAAAGACTTCTGAGTATCGCTTTGACAAGAGTCATGGTTATAATATTGAGAAAGCAATAAGGAATATGTGACCTTAATACATGTTCATTTTTCATCTCATAGTTTTGTATGTAGCAAACGTGGCTGGAGACTGTTATTTACTTTTTGTGGTTAAAGCAAGTCCTACCTGACTCTACAACAACCTATCACAAATAATGCATCTGAGGTGCTTTAGAGGGCAGGAACTTTTACACTGCCTCATAACTTGTTCTTTTTAATAGAAGAGGCCACAATTGTGTTCATAGACAAGCTATAAATTTCCCAGATTATAAGTAGTATTTTCAGTAATATAGTTGACTGGAATGAATACATAGGCAATGCTTCATTCTGCGGTACTGCCATCTTAGTCTAACCAAAATAAATTGTTCTTAGAACTGTTCTTTCCAGCTCAACTAAAACCTGCTTCAGAAAAAAATGTTGTGGTGACTTTTTTAATCTTTCCAGCTGCCAGAACAAACTATATTTTAATGCAGGAACGATGTTCTTCAGAAACCTGACGGGATTCTATAACATCCCACCGTCCATTGGTGCCACCGCAGTTGATCCGGCCTGGGGAATGGGCCGCTGCCAGGCACGCCCACACAAGATAACTCCCCGGGAAGGGCTCTGTCTATGTGCCCAGACTGTGTGTGTGTGTGTGTGAGGGAGGGGGAGGGAAAAGAGAGAGAGAGAAAGAAAGAGAGAGGAAGGAAGGAAGGACAGAGAGAGAAAAAGAAAAAGAGAGACACACAAAGAAAGAAAGAGTAATAGAGAAAGAGAAAGGAAGGAAGGAAGGATGGGAGAGAGAAAAAAAAGAGAGAGACAAAGAAAGAAAAAGAAAGAGAGAGAAGAGAAAGAAAGAACTATGACCACAATTGAGCCCAAAATCTTGCTAAGCAAGAGCGTTGTTAAGTGAGTTTCACCACATTTTACAAGTTGGCCATGCCTACCTGGTCACATGACCACCAAACCACACCCACAAAATAAGCCACACCCACAGAACCGATAGTAAAAAAAATTTGAAACCCACCCCCGTCAGCCACCAAAGGGCGATGTGTGTGACTAATGTTTAGAGTAACTGGCTTTAAGCGCTGTAGGAAGTTAAAACCCACCCCTCTGCTAGAGAACTGAAATATCCTGGGAAATATTAAGAAGGCGGAATATTATATTTCTCTGTTTTTAAAGACAGAGTAGCTTTCTGTAGCTTCCTGTCCACCCACTGTCAATGAGCCATTAAAGCCTGAGCTAGTCTGCTTTACATAATAAATGTAGGATTAGCCTTCTACAGAAACTCACCACATGGCATCTGGAAACTCAAACTTGGACTCAAAAGACAGCCTGGAGAGTAGCCCCTGCATGGCCCCATGGGAGTCTGACAACCAATCAGAATACATTTTTTTACACAGGAACAGGAAACACAGAGGTGGGGCCAAACAGAGAATAAAAACCTAGCAAGCCCTTCTTTCTCTTTTCTTCTTCACCCAACATCTGGAAGCATGTGATCCACCTTTTCTGTTCAGGACCTCGAGCCATGTGGTCCTGTCCACCATTAAACCATTTTTCCAAGCAGCCTCCATGTTTCCAGTGTCTTTTTCCCCACTTGGAGCTGAACCCAGAAGGATATTTCTTCCAACAGCATTTTCCCTTTCCCTTGAGGTTTATAAAGCTGATTTCCAGTTTGGGGTTTCTGGTTCCCCTTTGGGCTGTGTTAGCTTTGTACTCTTAAAAGGGCTTGCCTTTTACAGTTAGTTGTCAATGAAACAGCTAAATAGTGACTTTCTGCTGGTGAGAATTTGTAGCCTTGCTTTTTTAGCCTTCTAAAACAAAGGTCCTACTGGCTTTTCTTATGCAAATTGACCTAGCCAGGCTGAAGGAGTTGCTTGTATCATGCAAATTCTGCTTTTATGGAAATCTTTCCATGAGGCAATTTCAATTAAGCTCCGATGGAGTTTCTTTTAAGTTTGCAAAGAAAAGGAATCAAACCTTTAGTTCTGTTACACTCAAACAGTTCTCTTATTTTGCGAGATCAGGATGCAAACTTGCTTTACTAACTCTACAGGATCTGCTTTTCCAGTACATCAGAGGAGAAAAAAGAGTTTAGCCCTGTAAGCATTCTTCCACAAATGAAAACAGGCTTTTCAGAGCAGATTGATGCGGCTACGTTGTAGAGGCTTTTTTTTTCTCATGCAACTCTTGCCCCCCCCCCCCCTTTAGCACATTTTCTTAATCACAACAAAGTCCTTCATCTCAGGAGAGATAATCGGCCTTTCTCACTGAAACGGGATGTTCCTCTTTGGTCCAAGAAGGGGTGGGAGAAATCCCAGCAGCTGTTCTCAGTTAAAATGCAAACGGAGTTTGGGATTCAATTACACCATCTTTTTACTGTTCTGCCTGGGGAGTTTTAGGTTCCCTCTAGGTATTCACTTAACTCCACGCTTAGAAATCTTATTCAGATCAAGTTCATTATCAAGCATTCTTAATAGCAAAACTTACACAGTTCAGTGTTAAGATACTTCTGACTTTCCATAATCACGTGGTGTAAAAAAGATGATTTTGTTCCAAGGTTGCTTCCCCTGTTCAAAATGACCGGCTTCATCTACACACAGGCAGACAGCCCCACTGGCCAATCAGAAACAGAGATGTGATCACATGTCATGGAACTACATTTCCCATGAGGTAGTCTCTGCCTACATTTCCCAGGAAGTAGTTTGTTAAAGGAGACAGCTCTTAATTCCTACACTAGCTATATACTGCTTGGGCAGCGCAGTTTCATTTCGTTGCGGCTGGACATTTTTGCTTACTCCCCCTGTCTCGCCATGGCCGACCCTCGCATCAGACAGATCAAAATAAAAACAGGCGTAGTAAAACGGTGAGTATCTGACGAGTAGGGCCTCCTAGGGGGAAGCGGGGCATGGAGGGGCGAAGTTGTTTTTTCCAGGCGGCGAGTGAAATCGCAGGGCCGGGATTTAACTGCCTTATACCTCCATCATTGGCTGGAGTAGGAAGCATCAACTCGGTGCATACCCTTAAATGTGTGTATATTAAGTCGGTTTTTTAACACTTTCCCTGCGTACTCGAAGACGGTCCCTGCGAGAAAGGTTAAATTAAAGAGATGTTGATTGGTCGGTGGCCGAGTGTGAAATTGAACCGGTCGCTCCCATTTCTAGGTTTGTTCGCTAAGCAAATTTGATTTTTTCCCCTCTTCCACCTTTTGGCCTAAAGCCAGGGCCTGTTTTAATGGGTAAACAGGCAGGTTCTATTTAGCAGCAAGAGAATATGTAGTTATATGAAATGGTATAGGGGTTTTCCTGCCTAAACAGGGAGTTGGACTAGAAGACCTCTAAGGTCTCTTTCAACTCTGTTATTCTATTCCTATTCTATTCCTATTACATTCTATTCTATCCTATCTCTATCCGTCTGTTCATATATTGTTTTGTAGACACAGCTTTGGTGATTATCGACAGCTTAAATACATATTTTTCCCCTAACAAGTGAGAAAGTAAATGGAGCCTTTTATGACTCAGCCGTCTGGATAGACTGATCTACCATTTACATCCACTGATTGTGCTGTCTTTATATAGACAAAATGTTATTCCAGTATGACTGGTCCAGAATGCCTTTTCTACTTAATACCTGTATTAACTGTATATTCCAGATTCTTTGCCATGATTACTAATGATGATTGGAGTACATACTCAAAAGTTGCTGGATGCACAAATGTCAGTTGTAATCTATCCACACTTTTTCTTGTGATTTTTTATTTGCATAGTTACAGTTAACTGGTATTCCATGGTCATTTAGATGTGTATAATGCAATAGTCAAAATATATTTCCAACTGTAAATGAACTGCTTTCAAGTTATGTTCAAGACATATGTAATGCAATAAATGTTGTATTGCATACAATAGCACATCTACATATGAAATGTACTGTGTAGATATATTGTGCATGTACACATGTGATAACATTCACTGTTTTGTCAATTTCACACAGTAGCAAAGATAATTTTTCTAACTTGTAGAATGGGAAATCATTTTAAGAAAGCAAGAGTTAGCTTTGCTGCAAACATGTGACATATAAATATGAGAAGGTAATCCTTATGTATTTACTTCATACCCGTTTTTGTGAAGAGTAAGAGGTGCTGATTGAACATTTGCTAATCTATATCCAGTTCTCTTTTCTTCCAATTTAGACTGATTTATGTTCAGAATCTTCTGTCTTAAGGCTAGTTGCAGGTCAGTTGTGTAATTGTGTGTTTTGGGTGGGGTGGGGAGGATAGAAATTTGGTTACATTTAAGTAACACAGTATTGTCATGGATTCATCAGCTTTTATAATGGTAGTCTTAGTCTTAGTATTATAGCAGGTTATATACTTAATGATCAGTTAATGAATCAAATTCAGAATTTGGTTTGCAGCAAAATGTTGCGGTTTTTGTAGGTTTAACGTCATGGAGAAGAAAATATTTTTGTCCAGTTTCTATAATGTACTCTCCTGGAAGACATATAGTATCAACTTTCTTATTTCAGCACCAACAAAAATATTTTTAATCCCTAATACCTGAAGAAAGTACAGGGTCTCCTCTTAACATTCCTTCATATAACTAGAAACTTTTCAAAATAAAAGTATAAGCATGAGGTGCAAAGGACTGCATATATTGCTGCTAAAAAGCTAGATGGCTTGGCACGTTTGAAGCCAAGCCACTGCTTGGATTAGGCTGCTTATTAGGTGGGTGGATGTATGTACAAATACACAAACACACAAACACAGGTTATCTTTCCTTTTTGTCCCCTTTTTCTTTTTTTTTACTCCAGGAAGTGTTGTTCCCTTATTTTCCCTTTCCAGGACAGCATTTATTCCTCTTATCACAGTTTCATCCTGGGGGTTCTTTCCTTATTGGCTCTTCATGTTGGAGGGAAGGGAAATGTGCATGTGTAGTTGTGTATGTTTGTGTGTGTGAGAGAGAGAATGAGTGCCATATGCAGATGAGAATCAATTAGTTTTACAAATGACATATCTTATTTTACAGGCAATTAATTTTAATCAACACCTATTAACTCTTTTTCGTCTGACCCTCCCCCTTTTTTTGGAGCATGGTTTCTGACTGATGTATATATGCAGGCAAAAATGACACATTTGGGGGAATAGTCTAGGACATCCTTCAGCTGGCATTGGCAATGTAGTTTGACAGGGTAGGCAGTGAATATAACTTTTGAGTTTACAATATTTTTTCTTTCTGTTCCTGTGGAAGTCGATATTTTAAATTCAGAACATCTTCCTCAGATAAAAAACACTATTTCATTTGCTAGATACTCCCAAAATAGATAGTAAATAACTTGTCATTTTTCTTCTTAATGTAAAACTCAATGTTCTACAGGTAGTTCTCACCTACTCACCTCTTGCTCAGTGAATGTTCAAAATTATGAATGTGTTGAAAAAGGAGATCTATGATGGTCTTCAAAGTTGGAATGGTCCCATGGCTATGATTCAAGCTGTTGGTAACTGGTGCACATTTGTGGCAGGTACACCATTCCATAGTCACATGTTCCCCATTTGTGACTTTCATAGCTGGCTTTTGAAAGTCGATGGTGAAGCCCTCAGGAAGTCATAAGTTGTAGTCATGTAACATCAGATTCACTGACAGAGTGATTCACTTAAATAAAATTGATTTAAGTCTATACAGTCATATGAATTTTCCCCTTTCAACTTTGTTGCTTAGCAGTAAAGTTGTTGTGGTTGCTAAGTAAGGACTTCCTGTATTTTAAATTGTTTGCTTATTTATTATTTGTATGTTTCAGAGTCCATACTTAGCTTGTATGTACATACCTGAGCTGCCTGTGTGCACACAGAACAAAACATTTGCCTCGACTGCGAAATGTTCTTCATACACTTAAATATAATGGCAATCTGGAAAGGCCTTCCCAACATAAAAATTTCTCTGCTTCAAGGATGTTTTGCACAGTCCTGGTATGCATACGCACATAAAACACAAACGTTTTATTATAAATTTCTCTGAATGTGTTTTGTTTAAATAAAATTCACTTATAAAATGAAAATTTCTTTATCTTCTCAGTTTACCACTATTCCAATAAGAGACTCCTCCTTGCCCAAAAGACAGCCAACCTCATATCTGATAGCATCTTAAAGTTGCATTGCTTGAATTGTTTTATTTCTGTTTCTTCAGTCTCTGGATCTTAACAGAATTTTGGAAAATTGTGTTTGGTCCTTTTTTGACTGTAGGTAATGGCCGTGACCAGTTGAGACTGGTCTTTCACTAAATGAATTTTTATTTTCTTGATTGTATTCCCTAGATCACAGGTGTCAAACTCACTGCATCATGTTGATGTAACTTGACTTATTGGTACATTTTTTGCCTTCACGGAGCTGGGATGGGCGTAGCCTGCACATGATACATCCAGCCCGCAGGCTACCAGTTTGACACTCTGCCCTAGAAGTTATAACGGGGGAATAAAATTTCTATTCCACCATAACTAGTTCTATATATACCATTGTGATAATTGTGTAGGAAGCAGTTAAACAAATCTTTGCTGGGCCAGAAGACTAGGTAAATTGGTGTGGCTTAAGTGCCTGATGGATCTGGATGGTTCTTAAGGCACTTAGGCAATTTTCCCAATTTGTTGGTTATAATTGCCAATTCCTTGGCTAATACACATCAAAGATTTGGATGTTTTTGTTTACATGGCCACATCATCTTGTTCTTTTATAAGGGTTCTGACAGTGAAGCAAATAGGATATTGGCAGTAGAGGAACTTTCAAGATAATCAGATCTAGCATAGAATAAAGCCCATTTGACATCCCATTCTGATGCAGAAGTGGCCAGGACAATAGCATTTTTCTGGAAGTCTAAAAAGGGTGCATGTAATAGTAGAAATGTGCTGTGTTTTCATAAGGCTTGAAGCATTTTTTCCCAAATCACTTTCGAAATATGGATAGCTAATAAGACCTGTGCTGAAGAAACCTTTCTTTGGAGCTGGAGAATAGTGCATCTCTAAGCCAATTTTAAGTATTTGATTTCTGAAAAAAAGATAATAGCTTTGCAGAACCAGGCACATCTAAATGATGCTGATTATCTGCTCATATTTCAGTGAACTTTCCACTGGCATGTAACGGCAACTGATTGGATTGGTTGGGTGAATGCTCTGTGGAATGTCACTGTGAGTGTTCTTTTGAACTTGTTGGTAGGTTTCAGTATCTTTCAGTGTGATGTCCTTCCAAATGACCACTGCTGCTTCCTACTTTGTATACCACCAACTCCCAATGACTTTGTTAAGTTATGCTTAGAAGGTGATGAAGATCAATTGACACATAGGCTGTTCATCTAGTGTCCCCAATTTTCTTCAGCATCTATCTGAATATGCTGAGAGTAGTCATATTGAGGACACTTTGCTTTCTTACTTCTGCAAAGTAAGGGGCAGTAAAGCAGGGAATCTGTTAAATACTTCCTAAGTTTGATAATTGCCTGGAAAGGTTAAATCCAACAATCTAAAGATGTTATTTGTCAGCATTTATATTCTGATTGTGGTTCTCTCTCCCATTAAAAAGTAGTTTCATAAGCTGGGAGTGTTTTTTAACCCTTAATTGTTCCTGATTTTTCTCCTTATAATGCTCCTTTTGAAGTGGTTGCATTTAGTACAAAATATAGCAGCTAAACTATGATTTTTGTGAAGTATGTGAATCATGATGATTGTATTGAAATACCTGCACTACTGGCCTATTGCTTATACGGTGCAATTTAACTTTAATATTTACTTTTAATCAATCAGTTTACAGTCCAACTTGCTGTTAAATCTGCTGGAAAGGTTATTTTGAAAGGAACATGCTATCAAAGGTCCATCTTTCTGGCTCATAGC